ATGTATTTTGGCACAGTTAAACAAACAAGTACCGTAAAAAAATCCCTGATACAATTGGTTATAATAAAACAGGTGGATTGGTATATTCACTTTCAGCTTGCAGTGGATGCTCATTGGGATTTTTTACTGCACACGTTCTTACTTGCTAAAAAGCAGTCTGTTCCTCAAATGGTCCCAAAAATCTACAAGCAACCTACACTCATCAAGAAACGCACTCTTTGTTTGCTGGGCCGCAAAAGACGCTATTGGGCAGAATACAAAAACGAGATGATATCAACGGCGTACAGGCATTACAAACATATAAGGAACATATGCACAAATGCAACAAGAGAAGTCAGACCTCAGTACCGGATAAAGCCTATCGATAAATTTGTCTTCAGTGCGAAAAGCTTATATAGTTATGCAGCCAAAACTGGAATTCCCCAACTGCTAGGTCCCAATGGCCTGACCAATAACGGCGGTGACGCCGCAAAGCTTTTGGCTGAACAAATTTCTCTTGCATTTCAACTCATCCACATTAGCTATATAGATAAAAGCCTAACCTGTAACTAAACAGGCCTTACCGAAACTGCAGCACCTAAGAAAAGGCACATCTCCTGACCTGGATACGGTACATTCTGCTATACTGAGGGGAGCAGCTTCAATCTTGACAACACCACTTAGCGTTTAACAGAAGTTGTACCCGAGTATGCGAAAGACATTAGAAGTAAAAATAGCATTTGAAGTTTTAGCAATCGAAATTTAAATAGTTCCAACGTTTCATCCATCAATCTGGTCTGGGCTTCTTCTGTAGTAATATAATCGGAATCAACACTATCAAAAAGTATATCAGGTATGAAAAAACTCACACTAAAGACTTGTGCAATCATGTTTATTTTGTTTACAACAAGGACAAGAGATGATTAAATGTGCGTCCGTATGTTGGTATCTGTGTTTAATTGTTATTAAAGATAGTGAGAAAACTTCTTTGTCGACGCCCAAGGACAATTGATTGTTTATGTTTAGTGTAAATCTGTAATATAAATAATTATTGACTGGCCTATATTTTTTTACATACATACAAATGAGCAGGTTGAAAATGAACTAGTTGAAAAGGATTCCTTCGCTACATAAATTCTTTTATTTAGTCTGGAAGCAAAATAAACTAGACGAAGTATATGTGGTAACAGATCATTCACATAGTGAATTGTGATGTTAAAAACAAACTATATAAATGATAATCATCAGTGTGTCAAAAAATTAAAGAATAAAATCCATTCGGATTCAAAAATAAGATCAGATGGAATCGTGGTAAATTTTGGTACCTTCTTTTACTTACTAATGTACCGATTCAACAGACGTCAGTTATTATTTGTGAATATTTAGAATGAGATAAATGTTAAAATTTACGTTGGCCTTTAGATTTTCTTAAGATTAACGACACGAGATTATCTACAGTATTACAATGGACAACAAACCATTATTTTTCTCCAGACTCTTGTATAAATTCCTAGGCAATAGGCGACTAAAGAACATTTGGGAACGAATATCTAGGCACTTAGAAAATTCAAGGTGGTAGCAACATTGAGTTCAGCTAAAATAAATTTATTTTGACTTCCGATATTTACAGAATATTACTCAAAATAAAACACGTTAGCGTTTTATCATGTATAACACATGAGCATGCTAGAAATTATTTACTAATCTGAGTATGAAATCAAGAAGCTGAGAAAACATGTAATTCAGTCAAAAAAGTTGACCGTGAACATTTGAAACATTACATAAGTAACGTAGACCTGACACAGTTAAAAACTAAATATCGCTGTAACACTAAAAAAACCTATGAAAAGTGTACGGCACAAAGCATATTATCCACCATGAATTACAAAGATGATAGTAATGGTAATCCTCACTTTGTTCTGATCGGTTGTTAGGTTGATTCTTGACATTACAAACGAGATTTGAATTTACTTTGTCTTTGTGTCCACTAAATTTCCACTTTACTGTAAATGAAATAAAGAGTTGGACAATTTTTTGTGTGATTTTGTTTTTTTATAACCGATATACATTCTTTGAAAACGTTGATTTCGTTCATATTACTACCTAAGAATCCGGACCAGATTGGTGGACGAAATGTTGAAATTATCTAAATTCCAATCTCTGAAACTATTCAAATGCAATGCTCTCTATATGAATTGCTTTACCTGTAAATTTTCTAGACTCTGAAATAATCGACCACAATCTATCCGTAAGATAAAATAACTCACAGGTCATAAATATAATACCTAAACAATTTTTGAACAAGTAAATTCCTATCACATGTTTGTTCCCTACATTTAATGTTACTATTTGTATCAAACTGATCATACCCATAAACTGGAGTGAATTCTGTAAATATTATCTTCAGAATATGTAATACTTATAATTGTTTAATGATCTGTTATGTTTAATTAATGGAGAAACGGATAATCATTTGAAAATGTTTACCCTTATCATGCACTGATTTAGTTGGAGATGTAAAACCTTAAATTGAGTACTATAATCCTATTTATAGTGTAATATGACGTCCGAAATAAGAAACTAATCCATTATCATCAATCTGTCACAAGACCAAAGCTAATCATTTAAATGTCAACAATAAATTCATATACGATCGACTGTACGCCTTTTAATGAAAAACCAATGTAGATTAATTGATTTCAGAAAAGTATCTTAAATGTTGTGTATACTTCATTTCTTTTTTAAGTTCAGTTCATATAAACATTATTATAAAATACACTCAAACTATACAGCGTACTGATTCTGTATGATTACACTTCAAAAAGTTTTACTTTTAGTCGTGATGTCATTTAAGTGTTTGTTGTGAGTTAAGGTAACATTGAATGATGGACAAACTATATTTCATCTTTACTAGGACTGGAAAACACTAAAAAAATGATGTCATTGCACCAGAACAACTGTAAGTTACTTATTTCAAAATATTGGATTTCGAGGTTTCATTTGGTGGAATTTTGTACTTCTTAAAAGTTGTAAACCAAGACAAAATAATGATCTGCATTATTCAACTGCAAACAAAGAATACATCTGTTTATGTAAAATGATGCTGTAATTATATTAAAATGATTCAAATCCAGAAATACTCAATGTAAAGAAACAAGATGTATTGTTGTAATCACAACCCATAAAAAGTAATAGATGAGTAAATGAAATGTGGTACACCCACTCACATAAATACTTCTATTCATCTTCATGGTATTTTGTTAAATGTATCAGTCGACTGTATGACTATAAAGCTGTCATGATGAATTCGTTTTAAGCAATTCAGAGTTTATTTACCTAACTTGTTTATAGGATGTTACAATGAATTTGTGTGAAAATGAAGTTACATCTTATGTAGGAGTCTTCATGGACATCATAATTGGAAAGACCAAAAGAACGTTCAGTATTAATAGCTGCTAAGCGTAGAGGTAAACTCTTTTAGAAGTAAACAAACGTGGTTTTATGTAATAAGTCCTTGTAAATCCTTTAAATAAAACAAGTATCTGGAAGTGTTCCTCACGAACTACAAAGCCCATTACATCACTGATTTGATGAACTGACAACCTTACGATTCTGTCCAAATTATTTCTCCTCTTAGAAATTCGGATACAACTGCCTTCATGTTATATACTTTACAATTAAACGTTAACTACCACCAATGTTTCAATTTACTAAATTCGACTGGATAACTCCAAAGACTTTAAACTTGAAGAACAAATTCCACTGCATTTCACTCCACCATTTAGGGTAGAATATAGGTGAGAAATAGCTTTACATACGGTGTACAGTTAACTAACTGAACGAAAAGATGCCACGATTCAGTCAGGCTAACGGATAATCTATTGTCCAATTCTCGGGGAGTAATAACTCATCAGTTTCCAGCTAATATTGTTTGAATTCTCAGTCGATCCTAAAGAGTATTAGTGTACATCAATATGTAGAGACATGTTTAGATGCCAAACTAATTAGTGCATTTAGGTGATAGAAAATGAAGTCATCGAACAAATGCAATTAGAAGTAACGACAATTATGAGTAAATTATATTGACAGCACTTTTGAAACACGTACAGGAAAATTGTTTACTGCCAAAACATTGAGTTAAGAGTATGTCTAAAAATTTGCTTTTAAAAAGAATCTGTTTTATCCATCTGAGGTAAAACATAAATTTGAAAATTATTAGAGATGTCAGACAAATGATGTGTTGCGTCCATTCGAATACAGATAGGTCGGCTAAACCAAACAAGTTAATCACATGTAGTGAGATCAAATGAGTCAGAAAATTGGGCAATAGTAATTGGATTAGATATTAATGCAGTTGAATACTGCGTTGCATTATCAATAATTTAGACTTTTTCTTGATGTCTCAAGATTAACGCTTCTTCTAATTAGTAGTAAGCTTTCATTAAAAGAGTAATTTTCCGAACGAATACCAGAATGTTGAGAACCTAGGTTAATGGCTTACTCGAGGTTATTTTAAACTTTTTCCGCATCCATATTGACTATCCGTAGACGTAGTGAAATTAACACCTAGATATTAAAATTAATTAAAGTATAGAGCCCGCTTCATGCAATGAACTTTTGATTGGATCAACTACCCTTCTGTCTTAGTGATAGTGATAACCAGTTCTTGACTTTTATAGTTTACTTAAACGAAAAAACTCAACTTTTTGTCATGTTAACCCTTGATAACACAAAAATTAAATGAGTTACTTATTAATTTGAAGAAAAATCATAATAGAAACTTTTACACACCCACTCTTTATCTCAGGGATATAGTTTATTCATTCACATAAGAAAGTAAGCTATAAATTGTTGTTGAAATAAGATAATGATTGATAAACTTTGCATTCTTCAATATACTAATCAAATCAAACTAAAGTAACTGAGTAGAGGGAAACACAAGAACTAGGGGTACGAAATTCAATTCAATGAATCGGGCTACGCCTATATACTTCAATTGTTTAAGGAAAAAAACGAGAATTAATTTCCAAACATATATGTATATTTGTATAACGTTAACTGGCCTAATTTAAAAAATATCAATAGACCTATACAGACGAACATTTAGAGTTACAACCAAAAAGGTAAATAACAATTATACGCTGAGCTTTTATTAAATACTATAAGATGAGTAAATTTTGATATGTAATTATCTTTTGTAGATTAGATCATGATTAGTTCACAACAATGATTAAGAGAGTTGACCATTGAAGCAGAATTAAACATCCGGGTTGCAAAAATGCCATTGATCAACTAAAATTTAGGAGAGTAATACAATAAACTCATTTATACTATTATTATTGATTACATATATGAAACTTCTGTCGGAGGAATAAAAAAATGAGAGATGTATCAACGCCTGTACAAAATCATTATATTTGGAAGTAAGGAACTGAAAACAAAATTATTCAAATGACTAAAACCAGTAAGTAAAATGAAATCAATGAATATTAGTTACTTTGAGATTCGAAAATAAAATGTGAATACTGGAAAAAACAACCTCGTTATTAGTATTTCAAAATACTGTCTGCAGGAATCATTATGATAGACTTTCAATGTTTAGTTTAAATGTGATGATTCGTTTTACAGGAAAACCGATGGCGTAAAGATGGGGTCATTACTCACACCACTTCCACTTGACTATCTTGTGGTCACAGTTGACAGTTTAATAGCTGTCATCAATCAGTTAAGTTTACAATAGAATTGAATTCACAGTCCCAATTCTTGGATTTTCTATTGAAAAAACCTGACGGTGTTATATGTAGATTAGTATATAAAAAGTCAATCAGGAACGGGCAGTACAAGAATGTCAAAAGCTGGGTCACATTGAAACAGAAGAGAGGCCTAGTTATCAATTTATCTAAGAAAGCTAAACGAATTGGTACTGGTAATACGCTTGATTACGGATATCTACTTAGGTTTATTGATAAGAATCTGAAGTCGGAATAACAACGTGAATATCTACAGCAACAAAGATCCTTTTTATGAACACTCAATATAAAGTAAATACTGTAACGGACATTAATAGAATCCCATATTCTTAATTCTACGATTTTATTTGTCACTTCTGAACTACCTTCTCTGTTTTTGATTTTACGCTAGTTTTGGTATGATTAATTTCTTTACGCTTTCTTGAGTAGTTTGTTCTTTAGTTGTACTGAGGCAAATCACGGTAACTTGGATCAATACACATTTGTACTAGGTCCTATATTGGAAGACTATTCTAAACTATAATTTACAATGTTACGATAGCTAACATTTAATCCAGCTTCGTCTCAAACTTATTGGCAACAACGGTTAGAGTTTCTCTAATAACCTACCATGTAGGTGAAGACTTCAGTAACTATTGAAGAGTATTTGCTAAAAACTACAGCATTATGGGAATCCACAAATTTACTACGTAGGAAATAATAATAATTTACCACTGTAAATCTTTTTAAACATGGGATATATGAAATAGACTATGAATGAATAAAAGATACTTGGTTTTAATTATCAGCGATAGTTAAATCCAAAACTTGATTGAAAACGGCATCAAACAATTATGTGACTACTGTCAGTAACACTTACACATCCAGGTAACCAGACAGTACTGCAATGTATCATGAGATCTTTAGAAAAACATCTAGTAAGCAAGCGTCCATGTAAAAAATTACAAAAACTTACTAGCTTGATCTGTTGGCTCACTTCCATGTGTAAAAGCGTCATGCTTCTGCAAAGCGTCGAGAAAGTCTTCTTTTGATACCATGTAGGGACTTCCTTTCACAGTAACATTCGCCCTAATTGTTAAATTCACAAAAGCATTGTTTATTATTTAGGAAAATGGACGAGATTTCATTTTTCATGCATATACTTATGTAAAAATAATTTACCAGGAATATAGACTTTAGTTGAACGTATCTCAAAAATTAAGTATGTCCAAAAACTTGCGAATCGGAGGAAAAAAGTAATCTGAGAAAGGTCTAGTGATGTACCGCTGAAAAAATATGTGGGAAAAAGCTGTTTACCATCTGGACAATTTCGAATACGATATAGATTAATTTTTTAAATAGGCATTAAAGGGTATGGATCATCCAATAGTGACCATACAAGGATAGTCAGTCAGTCAGTAACAACGTAGAACTTCGTACGTACGTACATCAGTTCGAGTTGCCACATCACCTTAGCACAGAGATGCAGTTGTCGATTCAAATCCCGTAGTGGTAGAGGTATCAAGAGTATAAGCAGTAATAGGGAAGGATAACTTTACACATTTAGTGAGGAAAAACAAAAAATGTGAAATTCGAAGCTTGATTTGCCTAACTGTGTTTACACAATGAGGTAGTTCTACGTAAATACAGAAGCGACGTGAAATCTGGTCTCCGATACAAACATTCAAAGTTTATGTGTTGTGTTGGCATTAGGGACTAGTAGACTGTTGACTGAGCTCTCTGTAAAAAAATCACTGGGTAACTAAGAGTCATGATGTAAAATTTTACGATTTAGAAACCATAAGACAAAACCATCTAAAAAATAAACTACCAAATCTTTGTCATTGATAATAGTATCCATAAAATAACTGGAGACTATTTTTAAGCCATCCTATAGTTTAGAAATTACAAATACTTGAATTGTGGCTAACAGTGGAGTGTGGGACAACCGTTTTATTCTATTTGGGACTCGTCAGCTAGACGTACCTTTATCCCAGAGTTGATATTTATGTAAACTCGAACTCAGTACCTAATGAAAAGGCAACGTCCTGGCAATACTCCTAGAACGCACATATGCTAATAGAGATAAATTAATGGTAGTCCATCATATCAACAAGAAGATACTAATCCCTAGAAATATAAAGTAGCCTTGGCTGTAATTATAAAAATATACATAGCGTGATTGGGGTTGTGAGTCCGGTTTTAAAACATGTAACATACCTTTATTATAGTTGTATTACAAACTTTTATAAGAATCAAAATTGAAAAAAAGATGGTTTAATAGTCCGATTCAAGACAACGAAGCCAAATTAACTAACCGTATGATAGAACCAGCTTCAACTTTGGTAGATATCAGTTTCTGCCACTGTTCATGTGTTTGGGAAATAATTTTTATGGCGAATTCCTTGAACATACAGAGGCAATGAAACAGAAAAATGATGTAAGTGAAAGGCGGAAAATTCACAAAACTATGAAGACCAAACCAAATTACTATAACCATTCATTCTATAATTGAAGAATCTAGAATATATGTTAATAACTTTATTGTTATTAAACAGCAAAGATACATGATGTTGCTTATTGGCTTCTAGTAAGTCATGAGCAAGAACGTAATTTCACTATTATTATTATGCTTATAACAGAACAGCATGTATTCAAATTATCTTAACAGGTCCACAATAATGAGGGTGCCAGTAAAAGGGCGACTATTAAAAACGCAAGCTTTAATAAGAGCGACCATTTAAGGGGCACCTATTAATAAAGGCGAGTATTGAAAGGAGAAATACGATTTTTTGAAATTAGTTCGGCTTACCGTCTATCCCTTTGCGTCTACGATCAACCAAAAATGCAGTTCTTTGAACTTTCAATGAAGAGTCTACTTTCGACAAATACTGTAATTTCTCAAATATAGTAATAATTTGTTACTCTCATTACTTCAGTCGTGTTATCTCACATCTATTTCAAACAGTGAATGTGAGAACCTAGTTAACCTGATTAATAATTCATGTAAGATTGTACAGTAGTGCTGTTTAAAAACAATGTACTTTTTTACTTACTATGAAACAATATTTAGATAAGTTATTCAAAATCCACCTACTATAAGTGATTGACCCATATCTATCAGTGAAAACGGGTTACTTAGTGGAACAGGTCATTCAAATGATATTATTTATATGTTTGACGTAATACTCATTCATATTTTCATTGTTAAGCTATCAGACGTTAATATTAGTGTGATAAATCATATTGCAAATATAGAATATCAGAAGAACCTTTTAGTTTAGAATTACTTTCACTGATTATGTAACGTTATCACGAAAGCTTAGGATTACCAGATGGATGATTATCCCATCGTACATAAATACAAAACTACAAATTTATCGTTTATCCTGAAAATATCATAACTTTTGGTCTGGAATATACGCAAGTAAAAAGTATTCCGATCGATGCTTAGACTGCATCGGATGTTTTTGAGCAATCACATTTGCGTAAGTTTGTGTGAAAAATACAATTGGCAAAACGAATAAGTTGTATGTTTATCAAATTGATAACGCTTAAAATTTTAGGCAGTGACAAGTTCAGTAATCTGGTTTTCTGAGAATCCATTCAACCTACCACTCATCAAACGTTTATTATTACCTAAAGAAAATAATTGTCTTGAAATAATACTCGGTTATTAATGTGACTAAAATCAGCACTCTAGAATAGTGACAAGTTACGTAAAAGTTTATGAACAGTTTGAAGAATACTTTGTGTTATCCCGGTGAGAATAATGAATGGTAACTGTTAGAATCTATTTCTGTACTAATGCTATACGTATATTTTTATCGAATAATTGTTAAATAACTAAACTATTCATATTCGTGTTCTTCATAAGCTTTATTTTGACCTATGAACTATTATTATACGGATTATCATTCTTGAGTTATGCCCGATTTATTAATCATAGTCTCCCACATTCACAGACACTTTTGGCTAGATCTTGCGTAAATTTTATTTTATAATTTATGTTACGATGTGGTCTGTTTGGTTCATATATAAACTCAGTACGTTTGAAATAAATGATTCATATCGTGCAGGCTGAGATTGGTGTTCTGGATTTAACAGAAAGGGCTAGACAGGAAGAAGGACCGATAAAGACTCTAAACTGCTCGTACGGGTTTTATGAGTCATTGGTCCAGTTGACAAATCACTGTTTCCTAGTTGGCGGTATAATTACATTATATAATAATAGAGCACAAGGACACAAGTTATAACACATTGCCTAACTGAAAAGATCAGAGTTTTCGCTGTTATAATTAGATCAATTTTCACAAGAGTGATAAAGTTCTAGGGTGTCCTGAAACGGAAGTCTGGGAAAAGTATATTGCAATGTTGAAATGTGCGACAATGATCTTTCGGCCGAAAAATTCAGCCTTTAACAACTAGGTCCTTTGTGCCAGCATGGTTCTACCTGCATCGTTGCAAACCGACAGGTGGTATAACTAATCTTAACACAAAAAGTATGGTTTAAGATTGGGTACATGAACTTTTGCTTGGTTCCCGTGACTTGCTTACTATCAGCAGTTCCGACAACAGGTATAAAAGTGAATCCAACAAGGATTTTCGATTACGTCTCTTATGCAAACTGATATGAATTATAAAAGAACCTTATAGTGTGAACAAACAGTATAGTAAAATAAGAAGACCAACGGTAAGTTTACTTTGTTCTTGAACTCTCCATTGAAGGCAAATGTATTTTCGGGCTTTCCCGTAGGAACTTTGTAATACTTAAACCAGTCTCGTGTAGCCTACAATAGAAATGGAAAAGATTATGCTACTAAAATATAAAAAAATGGTCCAACTGACCAATAAACAGGCTATTCTTATGGGCTAAAATAACACTAACAAACATGACCAGAATTTATATAGCACAGCGGGCAATGATATCTAGAGTCAAAAATATTCAGTTAAATCAGCATTCCAGATAACAGTCCATTTTCTACTTATTATGACAGTACTTGAAGTGCCAAAATTCTCATATTTGTAGCCAACTCATTATGAATTATTTGAAGAAATAAAACTGAATGAAAACTAACCTTTAGAAGTCCCGGCATATGAGTATCGACGTCATGAATGTCTTTTTTGAAATAAAATTTTAAGTAAATTTGCACTAACCATTTAGTTTATCAGCCATTGGATCACCTGCATTTATAACAATAACTTTCCAATCAGTTTCACCTACAAATTAAAAAGTTAGGTCACTTAGATGTGTTAGCACTCAGATAAATTAATCACAGCAATTACATACTAATGGAAAATGAGAGATTTGTTCCAGTGTGGTAATTTCATAGATGTGATTGCATTAGTTATAAAAAGCAATACTTCAATTGTCTATAGATTACGTTCAAATATACTCGTGTCGCGAATTTTTGACAAGGTTATGTTTCTTCTAAACAGGACTGCACTAAATCACAACGAATTACGAGCAAACACTACTGTTTTCATGGATCTCCAGCTAGCTGCTCAACATGACAAACTTAGATGCGAGTATTGTTGAAATCTGATCATATTTGTATTTCATTTTCAGACTCGATGTTATCCCTTCGTCCAAACGTCAGTTTGAAAAATGTCATCTAAGCTTCAAACAGTTACAGTACTACACAAACGTTACACATGTTAGTTTAGGTCACATAAATTACTACATGTTATTGACCTAAATTAACACTCCACGTCTTACATAAATCGAATGATGAGGTGTGGTGTATAAAAATTTAGTGACTCCTTGTAACAATATTTAAATAAATAAATGAAAATCATTACATATTTCGGCATTTCTGTAAGTGTAATTATGTTCCTAGCAGTGCGCTATCATCAGTGAGATATCATGTGGTTTGATTCATTATTAGAAGCTTTACTGTAGATTCAGAAGACCAGAATATTTAATTCTTATTCCTGGGTTGTTAAGCGGATTTGAAAGCAGTAAGAAAAACTAGTACCAGTAAAAGGAGTGGGGAACTCATGTAGTATCGGTATGAAACCAGTGCCGAAACTTACTTCGACGGCTTAAGAACTTACATTTTTATAAATAATAAAAGGAAACTTTTGGTGATGAAGGTTAAAAGGAACTATGAAAACTAACCTTCATCTACCATTGCCAATATACCTAATACTTTTACAGGTATTATTGAACCGGAGGGCCAAATTTTCGAACCTATTTCACACACATCGATAGGATCATTATCTCCTTTAGCCTTGGTATTTTCATCTACATGGTTTGGATCTTCCCACGTTTGAGGTAGGGCACCATAATTCCAGATATAACCTTTATGTGGAAATACATTATTCACGTAACGCAGTCTATTATTTTTGACATCTTGTTTGATAGGATTCATAAGTTCTTCTTTGCTAATTTCCATTTTTGCATTTGTCCAGCGAGGTATCTCAACTATCATATTGTAATAGTTATTTGTATCGGTTAACAATGGGACATCATGAAAACATGAAATAGGAGATCCGCCATGAGCTAGAGAAGGGATAAAAATCTAATAAAGTAATTCAAATCTTCCAATGTAAGCGATCAGTAAAAATCAAAACACTACTTAGTACTGATGGCAGTGACTAAACTTCTAACTAACCCGACTAAAAATATATAGTGAAATGTGTTCGATGAGTTAATAAATAAACAATCTTATTACAGAGAAGAAACTCACTGAGAAACATTCTGTAGGATAAAGAGTTGGAAGTCCCACGTTCTACTGACATGACCGAACTCATAACCAAAGACGATACAACCGAAACCACACGCCGTAAAAAGCTTCTGGACATGGCGCCCTCTCATACAACCTTGAAACATCAGTAAATTAAAAAGCAGTTTTTGTTTCAATTTTCGCAAAGAAAGAACAGAGGCTAAGTGTCCTGTGTCAGTCCTGACATTTATGCTCTCTCATATGATCCGACTTTCTTCTGGGAGAGTCAACAGATGGAGCTTCAATCATATGTTGAAGTATTGAATTCCACTCGATGATTCCATGGCAAATTCGGTAGCCAGATGAAATGCAATTTGTTCTGAAACCGTGAACCATTTCAAAGTGTCTTCGTAAGTTCTTTGTTTGGGAAGACGGTAAAAATAAGGATATATCAGATGCAAACTTTCCACTAAATAATTTTAAAACTGTGATCAAGTCACCTCTAATTCTTTTTCATGACAATGGAAATCGGTTTAGGTTTGCCACTTGAGCATCAAATAGGAGCCTCGCCACTCTGAGAATCGACTCAGTTGTTATTCTCTGAACCTTTTCCAGAAGCCCGTTGTCTTTTTTAAGAAGGGGCAGTACTTGAGATTTGGACGAATGAATACTGTATACCAAGTCCAAAATGTTCTATCGTCACTTGGCTAAAGGCCCATCTTATTGATTATAGGGTTTCAAAACCTTTGGAGGTTATTAATAGGTATGGTGCGGTAGTTTTAGAGTCCTACGTAGCGATGACTCCTAAGCCAGCGTGTGTCTGGACAACGCGTAGCTCAGTGTTCTCCATTGTGTACGTATCCGTACTTGTCAGAAACTGTCAAACTTTTGGACTATTCACATAATTTCTGTTGATCATGTCGAAACTTCAAACCATCTTCATATTTTGTCACTCCTTGTATCTTGACACCGTCGGCCAATGATGTGAAATAGGAAGGTAATTTACACACCGGAGGAACAATACTGGCTCCATGACTGCACTCTGAAGCACTTATTACATTCATCACAAAAATACATGGTGTGAGGACTATCGGAATTACAAGTTTCTGTCCACTTCGTTACTAAAAGGAGTCTAATTTTGACCGCGCACGTAACATGTGTTCAAAAGAATCCTCAGAAGATGAATTTGTAGAATTATGGTCTACCATTATATTAGTACTGCTCTAATAATAGACCTAATCCTAAATTTGTAGATTTGTCATGATATAACTGCCTAATCTATAAGATCTTACGTGGAAGTCACACCATCGACTACACCAACTCACTGTATCGTATCAATTACCAATACATGATGTAGAACAAGGTTAGGCTAGAGAAAGAACAATATATTTATTATGAATAGAAGATATAAAGTAACATTGAGATGGACCACGCCTGCATGGCCGAGCCATGCCATACGATCAAACCCAGTCCATTCAATTCATTGTTCGCGCCTTTTCCATTGTTAGGTATTTCTCCGTGTTAAATATTGAATATCTATTTTCTGAGTAGTCTTGTGTTCAGCTTTGAAGATTGTGTGGTTATGGTCCAATGCCACTACACTACTCTCCCACCAGAATCAACGTGATGTTGGTTCGATACCAAATTGGATGGGATCGTCGCGCGCCGGAGGTTACCAAGGATAATAAGAATCCTCCGGGTATTGGTAAGCTGAAAGATAAATCAAAAAGAAAGAGGCAGCTTCTGGTCGGGAAATACATGTAATAATTTTAAAATATCTGCCTTCATGCTTAACATGCTTGAAATGAAAATTTGGGTGAAGATTATTTGAGCTATAAAAAATGGGGTTACAATAATAATAATAATAAAACGATGCGTGTTAATAGCCGTTGGTTAATAACTTAACGTATAGGTAGTAAGTATTTTGTGTTTAGAAGTATTAAAGAAATGAATGTTGTAGAAATATTAATATGGGCATTAGTTTTGGTTTAAATTATGAAATCAAATAACGATTATGCCGGTAAGTTGTCCATTTGAGTTGAATTCCAATTGCATTTGTATTAGTAGGCTAACTGAAGGAACAAAAGTATTACCGTGGAGAAGAATTCCAACTAGTCTTCCAGTTAGTTTGATATGGTTATCAAAATAAAATTTAAATACATGAGTGATAATTATATGAATTTTGGACAGATAGCTAGGAACAAATCGTTAAACATGAGTGTGTTCGTAAGAGACATGCTCTGGACTCAATGTTCTGATCTGCAGCAGACTATTTATTTATATTTATACTTGCTGGCTGACTGGGCATACAAGTTAGTTGCAAGTATGCAGTTTATCATAAGGCGAAATACGATTTAATTGAGATATAGTGGTTATGAGTTATTAAGATAAGTTAGGCCTGTGTCATATTACGAAGTGATGTGGTGCTGCAAGATGAATTTAGCTAAATAAGTTTTTACAAGATGATTAATAGTGAGTGATGCTCATGTGATTATCAGGGAGAACATAAGTTGTAACCAGGGGGAGTACACTCCCAACTCATGTCTATGATAATGGCTTGAACCTTAGTCAGTGTTGGGGTAAATTCGACATTGATGTTTTCAGTTTGCAGGAAATTTACTCGACTGCTTATACTGATTATTTGCATGCATGATTGTGTCGCTAAACCATCAATTAGACTGACAAGGTTTTGAGATATTTACTGAATGAGCAACTGATAGAGAAACATACTGTAATCATCTGTAGCGAATGAAGATACCAAGAAAACAACACCAGTGATAATTGTAAGTCAATTTGCTGACCGATTTTGTTAATAGTTTCATTAATTTTATCGATCGTATTACGTAACTGTCAAGTCATGACAATGCTTTATGACGATATCCTGAAACTATTAAATTTAACTAGTTATAGTGTTGATTGAGGATAAGTCAGTGGAAAAATAGGTATTGTTGCTTTAGGTGATTCGAAATTATCGGAAATTTATAACGTTAAAGAATCCGAGACGCCTAATTTAATTATAAATTTTAATTCAGAAAGATTCGTTTAGTGTTAATTCTAGTAGGCTACGGAGTTTTGATTTTAAACGTTTGTTTAGCCAACAGCTACCTGGGGATTAGTTATTTTACTAGTGCAGTTGATAGTACCTAAATCTTTCATCTTATTATCTAAACTATGTTCACATTTTAGGCTGCTAATATGATAAACCAATCCATAAACCCAAATATGATTAGCAACAACGACTATGATGGGCTTATTGATAAATGTTAAAGGCGATTCAGATGATTCCTAAATTTAGAAAACATGAAGATATAGTGTAACGTATGTATGGGCCAGGTTAACAAGCAGGTTGTTGACGTATATGACGATTTCAAAATAAAGAAGATGACCAGAAAATAATTTTAAAGTTAAGACTGCTTGTGAAACTTCAGGCAGGAATATGATGCGTTATGAGCCGCATTTAGCCTACGGACACTTACAAAAATATGGCAAAAGCAACTAGAAAACATATACACGTTAAGTACAAAAAATCATTAAGTAAAATAACTGATCTCGCCTGGGTTATTTTTGAAAATTAGATTATTTAGTGGACGACATATATAACGTCATTCGTGAGTAGTAATGATCCAAAAGCATCCAGAATAAAACATGCAGTATGGCAATCACTTCTCGGGTGCTTGATGCTGTTGAGGTTTTTGGGACTCGCTCTGATCAGAACAACTGAATGAATCCAAATAATTGTGTGTGCCATTGAATGAGCCATCTAAAATGAACTTATGATTGCAGAAAACTTATAGCTGGAACTCACCGTATTTTTTTGGAGAAGTGTCATCCTTGTTGTTTGGCAATGGAACTCGAGAATATGAAATTAGGCAGGCAGTGGTCGGAAGAAAAGATATTACAGGATAATGCATAGTTTAAAACAGGATGAGGTGTTAAGTGAAGGAACACTGAGGATTAGATCCAGATAACTATTTAGTCCTTGATTGCATTGTTAGTCAATGTATATTTACGCTATTTACAGGTCATATTTGCTAGAGCTTGATGTTTAAACAAGTCTATGTCGCTGAAGCATGTAAATGCTATTAAAGCTTGTTAACGAACCATCAAAGCTAATTAGTTGATATAGATGATCAACTTTTATTATCGATTGAGCTAGTAAGTTATGTGAACTAATAGATATAACATTACGATAATACATGTGAGCATTAATTAGAGGACTATTAGAATATTGGGTTAACATAAATATAAAATAGATCAAGAAAGTTGAAGTCGAAATATGATTAGCAATAATAGGTTGCGCTTCTTTAGTCGGGCTTACCAATGTAGAATTATGGTCTACCATTATATTAGTACTGCTCTAATAATAGACCTAATCCTAAATTTGTAGATTTGTCATGACATAACTGCCTAATCTATAAGATCTTACGTGGAAGTCACACCATCGACTACACCAACTCACTGTATCGTATCAATTACCAATACATGATGTAGAACAAGGTTAGGCTAGAGAAAGAACAATATATTTATTATGAATAGAAGATATAAAGTAACATTGAGATGGACCACGCCTGCATGGCCGAGCCATGCCATACGATCAAACCCAGTCCATTCAATTCATTGTTTGCGCCTTTTCCATTGTTAGGTATTTCTCCGTGTTAAATATTGAATATCTATTTTCTGAGTAGTCTTGTGTTCAGCTTTGAAGATTGTGTGGTTATGGTCCAATGCCACTACAAATTCGCTCTCACTGTGAATTGCCTAAGTTGAAATGCTTATCCCCAGCAATTCATTTTAAAGCATGCCAAAACCAACCTTCGACGTGTTAATGGTATTCTATAGACTCTTAAGAAAGTTCATCTTAGTGTAACCGTTTAGACTTATGGAGGATAGAGGCACAAATATTTTGAGCTTCTCGATGACAAGAGTTTGTTCTGTCAGTACACAGTAAGCTTAATGTCTCCTGAATATTTCTCTTACGAAGAAAAGCGCGGGCCACTTTACTGAATCACGGTGGAGAGTTTCCGGTGTTCCTTGATGTAGCCCAAAGCACTTTCGGTGCAGTATCCTTAATGTACAAATTCCTGTACATATCCCTAGCCGTTTCAGTCGGGGACTTTGGTTCTATTGGCCAACCTACTGAGGATACTGAGT